CCCTTCTGCCATTGCAGGCACTGTCCAGTCACAGTGTGTACCTGCTCTCCAGGTGCTTCCTTCTCCAAACTCCTCTCTCTGCTCAGACTGCCCTGTCCTCTTCTCACTTTTGAAATAGAAATTGTGCTGCTAGTTGAAATTCATTTCTCCTCCCCTGAATCCATCCCCATGTTCTACAACAAGAGGGATGCATTCCTTCATTGCCTTAGTCCCCCACAGAGTTTTCTATGATGAGTGTACCCTAAAAACTGGCACTTTCAACTTAACCTGTTGTGAACTGGCATCAAACAGAATTACAACATCACACTATGGTTGCAAAATTTATTTTGCTCCCCTTGAGAGTTTATCATATTTATCTCCACAGATGAGTCCTTCAATATCGGGTTGAAGTTTGAAATTGCATTTGAAGTCCGTCCCAGGAGCAGTTCTGGAACCCTTGTCCATGGCCACAGTGTCAATGGGGAGTACCTAAACGTTCACATGAAAAATGGGCAGGTAGTGTCTTTAAAAAATCAACAGTATGTTTCATCTAACCTGATCAAAAGCAGATTTGTTTCACAGAACTATATCATCAATCTTTCTAAGTGGAAAAATAGGTAAGCTGTAACATGAAATTTAAATATGGGCAGTAGTTGGATTCATGTTCGTATGTTGGGAGTTAATTTGATTCAATAAAAGTCATAGAAATAAGGTAAAGCTAGCAAAAAAAGATCACCAGTAACAACATGAATAGTTTAACAAAAGAATTAGAGTAAGTATATCCAATTATCAAACTCAATAAATACAAAAACGTTTATCTTTATAAATGTTTATGAGATATATGTATTCCCAAATATTAGAAATAAAAAATATATTATAATTAAAGCAATTTACTCTAAAATATTACTAAGGAATATTTCTGAAAGTATTCAACTAAATATTCATGAAAAGGCTGGTTTTTATTATGCCTCAGACTTACACCTGAATTTTATTTGGGTTCTAATATATTCTCTTAACCCTGCAACAATAAAACTTCCATGGTATTTACATTACTGTGTGTCATGTGCTATTCTAAATGCTTGACATGGATTAACTCGTTTTGTCCTCCAGTATCTCTAGGATAGGTAACATCATCACTCTGATTTTATAAATGTGAAAACGGAAGCAAAAATAAGATAAATTGGAGCCCGTCAGCCTGGCTTCAGTGTCTGTGCTCTTCACCAATATGTAACATGCTTTATATAACACAGTCTATCTTTAGAAATCAAAAGAATCTTGTTATATTTCCTATCATTCTTCTCTCCTGCTCTTCTCTCCAGTATGATTATTTTGTTCTGGCAGGAGTATACCCAGCATAAAGTGTTTCTATTACCTACCAAAGATTGACCCCTTGTGTTCAAACTGCAAAGCTAATCATGTGTGTCTATTTGTCTAAAAATATTGCTTTTCTCTGTGGACTTTTGTTAAAGTATTGCTTTGTTGTGGTAAATTATTTTAAAAATTCAAAAATTAAACTAAATTTTTAATGTGGCCTGTTATTTGCAGGTCACAGTGAAAATCAACAATGGCATCAGAGACTTTTCTACCTCAGTAACACCCAAGCAGAGTCTCTGCGACAGCAGATGGCACAGAATCACAGGTAGGAAATTCTGAGCATGCTTGGTTTCTTTACAAAGGTGAGCCTGGGGCGTGGGGTGTAGCTCAGTAGTCACGTGTTTGCTAGGGTATACAAAGCCGTGGGTCTGCTCCACTGCAATGCAAGTAAAAATCAACAACAAAAGGTGGGCCTGCATGCCCACAGGGGACAGTGGCCGGGGTAACAGAACGGTAGCTTCTGTGACAGGAGAAGGGACAGTCCACACGGAGCCAAACAGAGAGAAGCAAGTGCTATTGTACTCAAGCGGGTACTGGATCCACATGTGATTTACAGCTGTGATGGTACCAGGCCAGTGTCAGTAGTAGTTTATATTAATGTGTAGCTTATATAGCAAAAAAAGTTGTATTGAGTATCCTAAAAATTCTCCCTTTAGAAGGAAACTGTTACAGTGATTGCTGCATTAGACACTGTCACACATTATTCATTTTTTCCATTGATATAAAAGAATTTTATAGGGGCTGGGGATTTAGCTCAGTGGTGCCACCGCCTGCCTCACAAACACAAGGTCCCGAGTTCGATCCCCGGTACCAAAAAAATTGATATAAAAGAAAGTGCAGGGTTTTATTCTGGAATAAATAAAAGCCATTTTGTTAAAAATTAGTCTCTTTTACATAAAAAGTAATCAGTTCAGTGTGAGTCACAGCTAGTCTTTGCCTGTATTTCAGTTATCAGAGACTCAAATGTGGTTCAGTTGGATGTTGACTCTGAAGTGAATCATGTGGTTGGACCCCTGAATCCAAAGCCAGTTGATCTCAGGGAGCCTGTGTTTGTTGGAGGTGTTCCAGGTAAGTGCTCCCTAACAGGGACAAGTTTGCAAATCTACAGTAAATTCTCACAACTGTTATTGTGTCAGAGCCATGCGTTTTCATAATTCACCTAATAACTCAAGGGATTTTCTATACAATGTTCTTTTGTAGAAAAAGCACACAGAAAATTTTGACTTTTTATCCAAGTATCCTATCAAAGTAATACATAAGGACCAGCATTCTAGCCAGTAGGTATTACTCCCATTTTGCCATATTTGCTTATTTTTTAATCTCTTCCTTTTACATATCCTCCATACATACACAGTAAAACACTATCTTTACCACAAAGAAAACTTAATACTGCTTTATGAGCTTACAACCTAGAGAAAAATAAAGTTTCTGATAATAGGAAAGAAGACACAGTCTCCCAGGCGCAGACCATACATAACTGGGTCCTATATATGGCATTCCCCAAGAGAATGCATTCCTAGGTTGAGGACAATTACGGAGCCCTCCCATGATTATCTTAAACCTCTAGAGGAGGGACTATGTCTTTATGTTGAATGTCATTGTTTTTACCCATTTCACTGACTTGGTAAAACTGAAGGCTACAGCTCAGGAGAGAAATACAAAAGGAATATGTAAACTTTTGCATCTGGTACAATTTGGTGGAGCTTTTAACAACCTCCTAATTAGATTGATTTGGACTGTCCTATGTAAAGGCAGCCAGTGTTTTCATTAAGAGAATGAGAAAGCACAGATAAGAGTAAGAATCACATCTTGGGTCTTTCCAAAACAGCAGCAAGGGAGTACTGCTCTCTTTTTAGTGTAAGTTTTCCCCATACAAGTATTAACAACGATAGTAACGCAGGGGCCAAAAGAAATATCTGAGACCTTCAAAAAGTAATCCTTCCTCTCTTTCACTTCCCCCACCACTCCATTGCTATTCCCCAGTCCTCTCCTGGTGCTCCTGGCTTTGGTTCTGAAAAAGATTCTGGCACAGGCCACAGTGCACTTCATGCAGGCACAGGGTGGAAAATGTCTCACATCAGTTCTTACATTCAGCACACTGCTCCCAATATCGTTTTACATATTGCACGGGTTCCCAGAGGTCCACTGAATCAAATTTAGCACAGCATGCAGGATCCTGGGTCATCTGTTTCCTCCTGCCTCTGGATCTCCCCAAACCTTCTGGGACTTGAAGTTCCTTCAGTGTTCAGTGGTGTTTTCTTTGTTTCAGGCCTTTCTTTGCATGATCGCACAGGCTTCAATTTCTGGAAAATATTGTTCTCTTTTTCCCTGTAATACCTTTTCAAGGAACAACTTTTCCTACTCCTCACCTACCTAATTCCATATTGACAGTCAGGACTTAGCTCTGAATTTCACTTATACTTTCAGGTTCCCCTAGGATGTATATGCATACTTTTGTAGTGCTTATCACCAAATATTGTAGAAGCTAAAGAGTAAACTCCTTGAAGACAAGGAACATGACTTACTCAGCACTTATTGTCTACTAAGCACTGTGCTAAGCTTCAGCATATGGAGACAAAACAAGCGTGGCCCTCCCTCAAAGAAGTTACAGTATTTGCTCTTCTCTTTTCACCAAAATTACTTAGCACTTAATTCAAACAAATGTTTTTATTTGATGTTTGTATTTGTTTTTAGTCTGATCCTAGTCTCACACACTGCTGTCATTAACCTCCATAGACTGGGTGGGCAAGATGTACCTATAACCAAATTCAGCCTTTATGAAACATACAATGAATACAAATTTTAGGGACTGAATGAGCACACAATAGCTAGCAAGCTAGGGAAGCCTAACTACCAGCCCACTGCACCAGTGCAGCTTGTAATTCCATCTAGGAATCATGCCCAAAAGCCTAGAACAAAAGCAACTATAATGTGAGATGAATGTAATTCATTATATTATTTTGAGCTATTCAAGATTAATTCCAGGAAAATCACATTAGAAACAAAGGCATTTAAGAAGGATAACTAAACAAACTGGGTGTAAGTACAACCCCTATATACCTGAATTCTCTTAGAACCCCAGCCACACTTACCACTCAGAACTGTTATTTCTATCACTAAAAGGCTAATCCATAAAGTTCATTGAGCTACCATACCAAAAGATGTTAGCTTTACTGTATGATAATTTAAAAATCAGGGGCCGGGGATTTAGCTCAGTGGCACTGCACCTGCCTGGCAAGCTCAGGGTCCTGAGTTCAATCTCCAGTACCAGAAAAAAGAAAATCAGGATGTAACATTAGAAAAAATGTCTAAATTAATGGAGCTCACACATTGGTCTAATTGTACATTTTTCCATGAAAAGCCTGTATTATTTTATATATAATCAAGCCTTCAACTGGGAAACAGTCTCTCTTAAAAATCACATGTTGCTTTTATTAATCAATCACTTATGGTCCCTGGAGCCATTTTCTGTCACTACCTATAATTTATGTGATGAATTTTGCAGATGATAATTGCTATATGAATTTTTTCCTGCAGCTGATTTCCTCCATGAACCAAAGGGTGGAAAGCTTGGCAGAATGAACACCTATGTTCACAATCTAGTCTCCAATGTGGGCAGAAGTATGAGGTGTTCCCACTCCTCATGGTCTTTGCTAGTCACTCATTTATTTTTATTCTTACAATGACACACACTGAGCAGGCTTGAAGAACATACATAGTCAAACTAATCTAGAGACAAATAAAGGAAATTGATCTGTCAGCCCTTCCCAAATCTAAAACTTGATCATTATTATTCTAAAACAAAAATGCTATTTCTACAGTTTCTCTTCAGTACACACCTTCTCAGTTCTACTCTGTGTTCCTTGGAAGATTACAGCTGCAGAATGGTGTTTAATTTGCTGTCTTATTTTATGTTCTTTCCTGAGTTATTGCTTCTGATTTCCATCTTTTCTCAGTTACTGCTCACATAGCTGTTTGTACATAATAAACTTTTGACTAAATAGATTTTAATTTCATGATATTTCTAAGCTCCCTAATTGCTTTAAATTACATTGCTTCTATCATCCCAACGCATTTAATTGTGTCTGTACAATTAATACA